GGAAAAACGCAGGCTCAGGGGTGATCTGATGGCCACCTATAAGTTTGTCAGGGGTGACCACCAGTATCTGCGGGAATGTTTGTTCACCAGAGCGCCCCAAGGGACGACGAGGTCGAATGGTCATAAACTACTGCAAGACCGTTTCAGGCTGGACATAAGGAAGAATTTCTTTACTGTCCAAGCCCTCAAGGTCTGGAACAGCCTGCTATCGGAAGTGGTCCAAGCACCTACACTGAACGCTTTCAAGAGAAAATTGGATGCTTATCTTGCTGGGATCCTATGACCCCAGCTGACTTCCTGCCCTTCGCGCGGGGGGCTGGACTCGATCTTCCGAGGTCCCTTCCAGTTCTAATATCCATGAAATCTATGAAATACCTGCCCCTTTTCCCAATTTGTTATCATAATTGAGTAATTACAATTGCAATAATTCAGTTTGTGCCAGAAATTCAAATACATGAGCCACAAAGAACCCAGTTCAACTTTCAGATCTTAAGTATGCTTACAGAGGTTGCATCTAGGAAACAAAAAACAATCCCTTGTGCACTCAGGATCCAAAATGATTTCATCCTTTATCCAGGAAGTGGGGTACCTGGATTTGAGATCCTCCTCAGCCTGACAGAACTCATATCCCTTACTTTCTGCCTCTCAGAAGACTGTATTAATTAACAAAGATAACTCTGGGTAAGGACACCTTCACTCTTTCTGTTTCACTGTGCAGAAAGATTCATGGAAACAAAAGGAAAACAAGCAAGCTGCCTAACCCTATAGCCCAGGGGTCAACAGTGTTTTTGAGAAGAGTGCCAAAAACACCTGCAACCTTGACTTGTAAGATGTTGGTATGCCAGGGGCAGACAGTGGGACAGCTGCAAGGGGCCTGATCCTTGTTGCAGACAACCACAAGCAGCCCTGCCCCCTTCCCTGCTGACCACCTCACGGTGTGCAAGACACGCAAAATGCCTTCATGTGCCATGCTCTGGCACCTGTGCCGGGGGGTTGCTACCCCTGCTATAGCCCAAAGAATGAGGCACTCACTGAGAGAGGGTGCAAGAGGAGTCCTTCCAAGTTCTGCTTTTAGGATTATTTCTATATTTCATCCAACATGTGTTTAATACAAATATATATAAGCAATCTTGGGAACAAGGACCAGAATTCAGGTCCTTGTCTAGCTGAACGTTTTCTTCACAGTAGTAGAGCTTGAAATGGAAGGATAGAAAATGTCCTGCATAGGTCACCCTGTAGCCTGATAAGTAGAAACAATGAGGTGGGAGATGCAGATTTTAAACTACCCACCTCTCCACTCCCCAGAGGCCATTATGTAAAAAAAGGGGTGATCCAAAAACACTACCTGGCTTGAGCCCTATAAGCAGAAGGATGAGTGCTTTCCAGATGTCAATCACAATTATGTGGGAGAGATACCAAGCTAAGGCTCAGTCCCAGGTATGTATGGAAACAGAATTCTAGACACCTACAGAACTACCTAGTTAAATAGGGAGTTGATTGGTGAATGTAGGTGTCCGCAGGGCTAGCTCCAGGTTTCTGGATCACAGGTTTGGGTGCTAACACATCACATTCCTCTAAATCCCACTAAAAGGGCATAAATCCTTTGCCAAATTTAGCCCTTGGACCTACAGCTCCTGACCCTACTGAAACTGATTTAATTCCTTCCAACTAGTTAAGCTTACTGAATAAGTATACTTTTTCAATACTGACAAGTGCAGGGTGCTGCACTTAGGCAG